GAAAAAAAAACGGACACGAGTAAAGAACTAACGAACAAAAGGGCTCAATACAACCGTAGAGCAGACCTAGATAAACCTAGTGAGCCAGGCAAACCTACCTAGGTTTGTCTGGCTCACTAGGTTTATCTATCTATCTATCTATTTATCTGTATATATATATATATATATATATATATATATTATGGATTTGCGATTGTGAGAGATAGCGGTTCGCAGTTAGATATTGGAGAATCATGTCCGAATTTTCTAAGAAAAGTATGAATCCACGTCTTTTTTTTATAATCAAAAAGAAGTAACCGATTCTCGTTAATATCAATTATGAACACGGCCATAGTTTACTGACTGTGTTCGGGAAATAAAACATTTCTATTGCTATAAAAATCTACATATTCAAACAAACAAACCAAAAACCAAAACAAACAAAAAAAAACCTTGATAATGACTAATGGAATAAACAAAAGCACTCATTTGGAAATTTCTATCATGTTCTATGTCCATAAAAGAAATCTCTTGTACGAATGCAAGAAAAATAGAAGAAAAGCTTACCACTGAGGTCAACTCCGAGCGACCTCAGTCTGTTTCATGCATGACCGCAATCTTCGGGTCATGTGTCAGTTTGTTTATATCACAGACATTGTCTAAAGATTGTGTTCAAGCATGGAACAGACAGTGGCCGCGCGGTGTTCGCCTCGGCGGTAAACTTTTACATATACGAAAGCTCTATCCTTGATATTGAACACTTTTACCCATAAATATACCGACACTTAAAATTATATTTATATTACATATATGAGGCGACAGTCGGTTTCATGGTCAAACGCAATCGTCAGGCCATATGCGTTAGATTTATACAATAGGCTACTCATAATGTATCACTGGCCTGTATGCATAAACTGTCGAGCGACGGATAGATAGATAGATAGATAAGGAAAGTGTGATAGATAGATAGATAGATAGATAGATAGATAGATAGATAAGGAAAGTGTGATTCATGCTCAAACTCAATCGTCAGGCCTTATGCGTTAAAATTATACAATAGGCTACTCACAGCGCATCACTAGCCTGTATAAATTGTCGAGCAAAAATACGACGTAGATAGATAGATAGAAAGATAGATAAAGTGTGATAGATATGCAGATAGATAGATAGATAGATAGATAGATAAGGAGACTGTGATAGATATGCAGACAAATAAGGATAGATAGATAGATAGATAGATAGATAGATAGATAGATAGATAGATAGATATGCAGACACTATAGGATAGATAGATAGTATAGATAGATAGATAGATAGATAGATAGATAGATAGAAGAAAATGAAATAGTATGAATTAAATGCTCAAAACCAGAAAAGTAAAAGAAATCAGAAAATCCTAACGATCGATAAAAGAAAAAAAATTGCAAAACGAAAAAAAAAAAACACATTCATAGAAGAAAAAAGAAGAGAAAAAGTAATAACTAAACAAGAAAAAAGAAAGAAAGTGAATGAAACTCACGAAGAAGAAGGATCAAATAATAAAAAAGCCCACAAATATAATCCTTGAATAAAATATTAATCATTTCATTTTTTTTCCTTCTTTCAAATGGTCCGTAGACCTCACTCACGGTCTGAAGGAGAAGTAAAATAAATAAAAAAAGAAAAGAAAAATTTAATCAGCCTCTGAGGTCATAGAAAGAAAATTTTATTAGTTTTTCTGCTTATTAATTTCATTCGGCTTCATACATTCATTTATTTATCATTTTATTTCATTCTTTACTGTGTGTAAGTGGAGGTGGGTAGAACGAGTAAAATAGAATGGCAGGAAGGAAGGCTGCAGACTCTTCTCTCAATTGCCCGCCATCCCCGGCCTGTCGATATCACCTCGCTCGACTCGTTCGATTGGATTTTAGTGGATCCTACAATTTCATACAAGCGTCTAAATCCGCATGGTTGGGTGTATGCCTTTCCTCACACCCCTCACTTTAGTCGAACCTAAAACTTTGAGGTTATTTTGTGCATAAACGTCAATGTCTCTTATATTTGCATTTATTTAAAAGTGCGTTCAGCGCAAAAAAAATATTGAAGTCAATAACAAAGAGAAAAGAGGGATAATCGTTGATGTTGATCCATTGGGCAAACAAAAAAGTCCTTTATGTTCTTGTCGTTTGGTGGTTTTATACGCCTTTTAATTTTAAATAACTTCGTTCAAAAAGATCACTTTTGATTTTATTATGATAGCTTTCATTTTAGAATGCATTTAAAAAAAAACACTTTTCTAAACTGACGCATTTTTAATGACATTATCTACACGTGGACTCTGGTCTTCATCTTTGTTTTTATCACGTTTTGCCCGTTACGCCCTACGGCCTTCATCAGCTATTTGTCGATCCAAGTCACACAATAGTCTAGTGTAGGTCTTCTCAACCATTTTTACTTCAGGGTGCACTTGTAGAATCACTAAAATTCTGGGGCGCACTTTAAATTTTAATAAGGAAAAATTACTCATGAAATTTGAAATGTTTGGTTTAGCATGCCTAAAGAAGATTAACGGCACAGTTTTTATTTAAAGGGATTTATGAAAAAATCTGTTGTTTATTTTATTTTCTTTAGAAAGGTTGATAATGACTGATTTAAATACCTTGAAGAAGGTAAACGGAAATTCATTATCACCTCCTGGTTAAAGATTAAAGAATTTAGCATCCAGTTTAAAATATCAACTGACAAAGACATTGTTCCAAGCTTTTCTAAAATAAAGATTTTTTTTTAGATATAAAAATAATTCCAAAATTACTCTTCTGTTAATGTTATGCATCTAACTACCTTTAACGGTGTATTAGTGGTCCCTGGCACACTGGTTGAGAAACAATAAAATATATATCTAGCATCATTTTTTTTTGTATTATTTAAAGGGATTTATGAGGAATCCACTATATTTTTTAGAGAGGTTGATAATGACTGTTTTTAACCCATTTAGGAATGCAAAAGGGAATAGCTTATCTACTCTTTAAAGATTAAGGAATCTAGCATATAATTTAAAATATCAATTGACAAAGACATTGTCCCAAGCTTTTTAAAATAAAGATTTTTTTTTAAATAAAAAAAATCATACATTACTGTTCTGTTAACTTGGGGCGCATCTGACTACCTTTCCCTTTATATTAGTGGGCCGGGGCTCACCGGTTGAGAAACAATAGATTAAATAATAAGTGCATGGTTGCCAGTAAAAAGGATGGCTTTTCAAATGACTTTTATATATTTACTCAAACACATAATGTAGGTTACTTGTTATTTTTCCAATGCTTTTCGTACCTTCGGTGTTCCCTGTGAGTGTTAGATTCGCCAAGCCTTCTTTCTTCATCATATGTCCCTCAAATTTTAGGTATCTTTTTCTGATTATTGGCAGATGCTTATTTGTAGTACATTGTCTCCTTGAATCTTGTTCGTTTCTTATGGCATTATCAGCATCACCACATCTCAGTCGCTTCAAGACTCTTCTTCAGATATGAAGAAACTGTAGCGACAGTCCTTGTCATATAGGAAATTAGATAATATATAGCTATCTAGTAACCTTTTCTTTATTTCATTTAAAGGGATTTATGAGGAATCTACTATATTTTTAGAGAGGCTGGTAATGACTCAACGCAAAAGTGAATGGATTACCAACTCCTTAAAGATTAAGGAATTTAACATCCATTTTAAAATATCAAATGACAAAGACTTGACTTAGGCATGGAAGACACGTGCTTAGTGTCTCTAGATTTAAAAAAAAAAAAAGATTTTTTTTTAAATATAAAAATAATTCATAAGTTACTCTTCTGTTAATTTGGAACTCACTATTTACCAACTTCTCCGCAAGGCAAAAGGTGGCACAAGACCGGTTTTTAACGTGGGGCATTTCGAGCACATAGGCTCGGACAAAAATTGCCGTAGACCCCATATATACGGGGTCGGGTTTGTCTACTTCCGCAAACGAGGTTCTGCCCTTCGACATAGCCTCGTCTGGGTTCCTCTCAGCTCGGGGGCAGGGAGTTCGACAAGAGAGGAAGAGGAAGACGAAAGCCTCCTAACTTGGAATTCGCCTGCCTAACTTTCAGGACGCAGTATTGCGCACAGGTGCAGCGGTCGAGAAACGCCGGGATGGATTAAAACTGTACTTGTGAGTTCAATTCCTAGGCCGGGCAGTCTATACTTGGACTCAGTGGAAACTTAGCGAGCTATAACTGAACAGTACTAAATAAGAAAGAAACGAGCTATCTCTGGACATGGACAATGGAACAGAAAAGAACAAGCCTCTCTTGGAGATTAAATAAAGAGTTCAGTTCGAAAGTTAGCCGGATCGACAGGCACCTGATGAAGGCCGGACGACATAACGACCGAAACGTTATGATAATACCAACAAAGATGTGGACAGTAATCCGCGTGTAAATCATGACAAAACCTTCACGTTTTTGTGCCTTGAGGTTAACAGTTAATATCTCTCTTCCTGTATGGCAGCAAGCGTTGGACAGTTTCTTTTACATACGAAGAAGAGACTCGAAACAACAAAGATGTTTAAATAATTGAACTTAAAGTTGATAATTTTGGAACACATTCTGAGGAAGGACGGCTTTGAAAACTTAATACTCACAGCATGTTAAGCTGACGAGTTTTTGTGAATAGATGGCAGAGCAGAGACAGGGAAGAGTATTAAAGAGTTGCTTAGAACTACAAGGAACTGGAAGTTGTAGAGAGCCATGATCGCCTACGTCCTACTAATGATAAGTAACATTTCTGAAATATCATGATTTCTTTACTTAAATAAAGAAAATTAAAAATGCATTACAAGCAAAAAAATGCACATGGTTTGGTTTGGTTTGGTTTGGTTTGGTTCGATTTAGTTTGGTTTGGTTTGATTTGGTTTGGTTTGATTTGGTTTAGCTTGGTTTGGTTTGGCTTGTTTTACGGCATATCAACCTCAATGGGTTATTTAATGCCAACAAGATTATTATTTCTGCTAATATTTTTTTCCTTCAAAATTTATTGCTAGTAATTTTTTTTTCAAAAATATATAGCTGGTAATATTTTGTTTTTTTTAAAAATGCATTGCTGGTAATTTTTTTTCAAAAATATATTGCTGGTAATATTTTGTGTTTTTCAAAAATGTATTACTGTTAGTTTTTAAAAAATATATATTGCTGGTAATATTTTGTTTTTTTCAAAAATGTATTACTGTTAATTTTTTTAAAAAATATATTGCTGGTAATATTTTGTGTTTTTCAAAAATGTATTACTGTTAATTTTTTTAAAAAAATATATTGCTGGTAATATTTTGTTTTTTTCAAAAATGTATTACTGTTAATTTTTTAAAAAATATATTGCTGGTAATTTTTTTTTTTTTTTTTTTTCAAAAATGTATTGCTGATACTTTTTTTATTGCTGGTAATATTTTGATTTTCCTTCAAAAGTTCATTGTTGGTAATAGTTTTTTACAAAAATGTATTACTAGTACTAAAACCTATTTTTACACGTTTATGATTTTTTAACCCCAGTTTGGGATTAACTATTTGCCCATAGCTGGGACCCTAACAGGTACTACCACCCCGGATCAGGGTGGACCTGGGAATACAAACAATTAAGAGGTGGTTGCACGTTCCTCAAAACCTCCTGAGCAAAGGCCTTGTTGTTGGATGTAGTTTATCGTCTTACCCAGGACGCGAATGTAGTTTATCTTCTTACCCAGGACGCGGATATAGTTTATCGTCTTACCCAGGACGCGCACATGTTGTGAAGAAAGCAATAAGAATTATTGAACCTATCAAAAGTGTTTTCAGAATTTAGTTCTGGATCTTTTCTCGTTGAATGTTGCGCTGCAATCGGGTATCTCTTGTACCAGGTTGGTTATGTTAGTCACGTTGGTGGGTGGTTCCACAGATGTCAAATAATGATGAAACTACTGAACGATATTTGAAAGTTCGTTTTTTAAACAAATTTTGATGAGCGATGAAAAGTGAATACTTTACAACAATATGGAACGAAAGAGACCGTGAAAAAAATGAAAGGAACCCCTACTGACCAAAACAAATACTGGATTTCATCAAAGGTTGTTCATGCCGTGTATACGCAGGGATTATATTGGGCAAAAACAAACGATTGATTTGAACAAGCACAGCAACCAGTTGGCGTATTTGAAGGTAGCTGTCAAATAAAAGCGTCTGTTTGGAATTAATTAACAAACAAGGCGTAATATTTCATCAGGATAACGCTAGACTGCATATTTATTTGGTGACCAGGCAAAAATTATTACAGCTTGGCTGGGAAGTTTTCCTTCATACGTCATATTCAACGGATATTGCAATTTTCGAATATCCTTACGGTTTTCACTTAATGAGAATATTTATAATTTCCTGAAAGACTGAAAACAAAAAGAAATGGATAGAATGATTCTTTATTATCACAGATAAAAACAAATTCTGGGAGAAAGTTAATATGAATTCGCCTGAAAAATGGCAGACGATGGCGGGGACGACAAAATATTGAATGCGCCATTCAATAAAGTTAATATTGAAATGAAAATATTTGTCTTTTATTTGTTTTTAAATTAATCGAGCAAAAATGTGATGTCCATCAATATAATTTATTCAAATCAAATGTTGTTAAAAGAAGATAGATAGATAGAAAAGAAAAAAAAGAAAGCAAAGTAGGAAGAGTAACACATAAAAATTAACAGAAATGCATATATTCTTATATATATATATATATATATATATATATAATTGACATTGAAGTCAACACCCAGAGGCGACAGTCTGTTTCATGCTAAACTCAAACGTCATGGTTTGATTATTGACTTTAGCTAGAAATATAATAAAGAAAGACATCAGGAGAGAAAAATAAATCAAATTGCATCAAACATCATCTCCCAACTTCGCCTCCCCACCCAATGGGTGTTGACTTCAATTTCCACTTTTTTTATATATACGTACGCTTTGATCTGTGTGCTTATTTTTTGTATTGGGGCGGACATGAATATATATAAATACCTTACGTATGCTTGTATATGGTTCAATAACTATATATATATATATATATATATATATATATATATATATATAGTTACTGAACCATATATATATATATATATATATATATATATATATAAAAAAAAAACAACAGTAAGATATATAATCTAGTGTTATTATTGACATTTTTATTTTTACAAAACAGTGCTCAATGTAAATGTACAGAGCATAAATATTATAAATTAACTGATTTAAAAATATGTTTCCATCGCTACACAGGAACTACCATGTTTCAAAAACAGAAGTTCAAATTCAATTATATAATTGATTATATAATAATCATTAGTTCTGTTTGATCTTCAAGTGATTTTTTCGTTTAAAGATGAAACAGAACTAATGCTTTTAATTTATATATATATATATATATATATATATATATATATATATATATATATATATATATATATATATTATGATATTAACTCCCACAAAAATAATTAAGTCGGTCGAACACTGTGGAGAGAAAAGCGCGAATCTGTAAACCGTCATTTTAATGCTGATAATGCAAGACTCTTTTTGTTTGTGTGTGTATGTGAAAAAAAAATAAAAAAATACAATTTAAAAAAATAGAAAAGTCTTCAATAGTTACTGTGAATAAATTAATCTATTGAACCTTCGGCTCACGTAAATTAAACGGAAAATCATATTGACTCAAATAACAAAAAAAAAAAACAAGAAAAACAGTGGAAGGAATTAAAAGGAGAAAGATATGGCTAGAGAAAGAAAGGAAGATGGCTAACAAAAAAAGAAAGAAAGAAAGAAAGAAAAGAAAGAAAGAAAGAAAAAGAAAGAAAGAAAGAAAGAAAGAAAGGAAAAAATAAAAGAAAGAAAGAAAGATATGGCTGAGAGAAAGAAAGGAAGATGGCTAACAAAATAAAAGAAAGAAAGAAAGAAAGAAAGAAAGAAAGGAAAAAATAAAAGAAAGAAAAAAAAGAAAGATAATTGAGAAATTTTCTAAGATGGCTAACAAAATAAAAGAAATAAAGAAACACGAGAAAAAATGAAAGAAGGACGTTGAGAAAGAAAGATTGCTAGCAAAATAAAAGAAAGAAGGTGTGAAAGAATGAAGAAAGGAAGGTGAGAAAGAAAGAAAGAAAGAAAGAAAGAAAGAAAATGGATAACAAATAAAAGAAAGAAAGAAAGAAAGAATGGAAGAAAGGTGAGAAAGAAAGTTTGCTAAGAAAAAAGAAAGCGAGAAAGAAAGATTGCTAGCAAAATAAAAGAAAGAAGGTGAGAAAGAAAGAAGGTGAGAAAGAAAGAAAGAAAGAAAGAAAGAAAGAAAGAATGGAAGAAAGGTGAGAAAGAAAGTTTGCTAAGAAAAAAGAAAGCGAGAAAGAAAGATTGCTAGCAAAATAAAAGAAAGAAGGTGAGAAAGAAAGAAGGTGAGAAAGAAAGAAAGAAAGAAAGAAAGAAAAGAAAGAAAAATGGAAGAAAAGTGAGAAAGAAAGTTTGCTAAGAAAAAATCAAAGGAGAAAAGAAAGATTGCTAAAAAATAAAAGAAAGAAGGTGAGAAAAATTTTCATGAGAAAGAAAGAAAGAAAGAAAAAAAAAGAATGGAAGAAAGGTGAGAAAGAAAGTTTGCTAAGAAAAAAGAAAGCGAGAAAGAAAGATTGCTAATAGAACAAAAGTCAGAACGCGATAAAGAATAAAAGAAAGATATCTAGAGAAAAAAAAAGAATAAAACTACACTACAAGAAACCTTTTTTAAAAATCGAGAAAAAAATGTTTCAGTAAATATTTATACTGATTATCTACCTTCAAATATTTTGTCATTCGTCTTGAAATAATGAATTTTCTTAAATCAATCGAAAAGAAAAAAAAAGTCAAGAAAGAAGTCAAATAATTGGAAGAAATGTTCCAGCTAGAAATATAATAAAGAAAGACATCAGGCGAGAAAAATAAATCAAATTGCATCAAACATCGTCTCCCAACTTCGCCTTCCCACCCCGCAAAAAATAAAGTAGTCTAAAAAACATAATTATTGCTGCTATTGAAACAATGACAGACAATCAGATAAAAGAAAACATGTAAAACAAACAAAGAGAGAGAAGAACAAACAAATGTTTCGGCTGATAAAATGGTCGGCAGCTGGAGATTTGCAATAGGTTGACCTTGGACAACAGTCGAAAAACACTGGAATAAAATTAAAAAAAATAAACAATTTCATTTTTTTCATGTGATGTTGCAGAAGCTAATACGTTCGACACTTCTGTACTTTTAATTACAAAAGCCGGTTTTCTTTGCGACTTAATTGAACGAAACTATTTAATGTTAGTACACGTGTCTTCATATTCAAGTTAAAAAAGAAAATTTGGTATTCCAATATGTTTTTTTTTACCTAGATTCGAACCAGGACTTCACGTACTGCTTATAGGCTTCCGCCATTTTGTGATGCACATAGAGAAACGTACCAGACACTATTTGTATTTCGAGAAAAGGTTTAGTCATAAGTGGTATCCTATATTGAGAACCAACTGTAATAATGTATATATTACCCTTATTTACTAATCTTACGGAAATTTAGGTACCTCAACAGAAAACGCGATAGGGTTTAAAATGAAGAAGGTATGAAAGAAAGAAAGAAAAAAAGAAAGAAAGAAAGGATAACAAATAAAAGAAAGAAAGAAAGAAAGAAAGGATAACAAACAGAAGAAAGAAAGAAAGAAAGAAAGAAAGAAAGAAAGAAAGAAAGAAAGAAAGGATAACAAAAGAAAGAAAGAAGGAAAGAAAGAAAGGATAACAAATAAAAAAATTAAGAAAGAAAGAAAGAAAGAAAGAAAGAAAGAAAGAAAGAAAGAAAGGATAACAAATAAAAGAAAGAAAGAAAGAAAGAAAGAAAGAAAGAAAGAAAGAAAGAAAGGATAACAAATAAAAGAAAGAAAGAATTGAAAGAAAGAAAGAAAAAGGGTAAGGAAGATAGAAAGAAAGCATGGAAGAAAGAAGGTGAGAAAGAAAGATTGCTAACAATAAAAAAAAAGTTCGTGAGAAAGGTGTGGCTAAGAGAAAGAAAGAAAGATGGCTAACAAAATGAAAGAAAGAAAGAAAGAAAGAGGAGAAAAATGAAAGAAAGAAAGAAAGAAGTTGAGAAAGAGAGAGAAATGAAAAAAAGAAACTTGAAGTTTTTATTTTAGTTTTAATTACAGGCTAATTTAAATTTAATATTTCCAATAAGCAAAATAAAAAAATATATCAAAAACTAATTTAAATTAACTGGAAGGATTTTTTTTTTTGCTAAAATAGCTGATTAGCGCTCATTTTTAATTGTCTAAATGTAATTCGCTTTATTAAAAAAAACAAACTTCCAAAAATAAAATATACTTTTCTGAAACTTTATTTGCGGAATATTAGCTGATTTAAACTTTAATTAAATCTGATTTGAAATTTTAATTTTAAAATATCGCCAAAATGCATTTTTGACATGTTGACACCCTGTTGACAGCCTGATCTAATATTTTTATACGGAGACTTTATCTGTAAAACGTAATTGAAGAAAATGACGTGAGCGCCTTTTTTATATTTTTAAGTGCGCGGTAATTTTTAAAATTTAGAAAAATATTCTGCGTAATCTAATGTTTTATTGAATTTTATATACTTTCTGGCTTTAACCCATTAGCTGCCAAATTTTTATAATGCGCATTTTTGTCCCAGACAGGTGTCTTAGGAGTTTATTTATTCCTTATGTATAATTTCAGTAGTTACCATTGTCGTTTTTATAGAAACTAGAACATCAAATATATATGCGTATAAAACATCAAAAAATAATATTGATTAGAAATAATAAAAATATACTTTTTAAAATAGTCATTAATTTTCTACTTGTGAAATGTAAAATTACGACAGAAAGTGTCTTCTTACGGCGAATAAAAACTTTAAAGGCTAAGTGTTGTAAAATATACCTCTGCAAATGCAATGTATGTAAGCAATTCAATGTAAATGGGGCTCATGGCAGGTAATGGGTTAAGTTTATTTATTCTTGTGTTTATGTGAAGCATGAGCCTGATGAGTCTAGCGATTTCTTTAATGTTTGGGTGTATATTTGATAGGCAAACTCTCATTTCCTCCTCAATACATTGAAGAGATCCACTCTTTCTTGCACTTAATTGTGGTGAGAGCAGAAAAGCCTAATTCACATAAATATGAATGAGACGAGTAACGAAATATAATAAAGTAAGCATATTTATTTCTTATTTATCTGGACACATATTTCTCTACAAGATGCCATGGAGCACCTAGACATTTTTCCAGGGTGCACCATTGAGAATCACTGACCTACACAATAGAGACCCTACCAGGATTTATTATCGGTGGGTGTAATCTTAAAAAGATAAGATACGCAGACGACACTGGGTAGATGGTCGACTCGTAAAGGAAACTACAGGACGAAGAAAGCGATAATAAAGGACTAACTATGAAGTACTAGAAGACAAAAAGTATGGTAATCGGCAAGAGAAAAATCCCAAGATGCAAGTTACGAATTGGGGACATATACATCGAGCAGGTGCAGAAATTCAAATATGTGTATAAAACATGGTATAAAACATCAAAACATAATATTGATTAGAAATAATAAAAAAAATACTTTTTACAATAATTATTATTTTTCTACCCTTGAAATGTAAAATTACGACAGAAAGTGTCTTCTTATGGCTAAAAATAAAAACCTTAAAGGCTAAATGTAAAATATACCTCTGCAAATGCAATGTATGTAAGTAAATCAATGTAAATACAAGGAATAACATGTAGTGAGTTTAATTTTAACAGATGCCCAAATGGGGCTCATGGCAGGTAATGGGTTAAATTTACTATATTTATCGCTCTTATTTTCAGATAATGTAGCATACAGCCGTCCGTACTTCCAAAAATCAGCACGTTTATACACATACAAAAAATTTCAAAATTCTTTTAAAAATATTGGCGTTTGATGATTTGTATTAAGCTTTTCCATTTAAGATTAGTAAGTATAGTTTTCACTTTTTAATAGTGTCATCTAAAAGGCTAATATTAATGCATAATTTTAAAGGAATTAAACATTAATATTTTCTAATTAAAATTTAAAAAAAATAAAAACAATTCTTGTAAAAATTCATTATTCACCGAAAAAAAATTTAAGACAATAGTGTCCTTATTATATCTTATAAAAGCAATTAAAAGCTTTTCTAGTTGAATAATATCATAGTTTTATTGTATTTTTTTATTTTACGATTTAGAGCAGATTTTCGATAGATGGTGTTTCCGTTTGGCAAAAACAAATTGATGATATAAATTCTCCTTTTAACTAATGTAAATATGAAGTAGCTGGAATTTCTCGAAATTTCATAAAATTAAATAAGTGTGTTGGGGGTGGGGGTTAACAGATGTAAATTAAATTAGTGGGAGGGTGTAACAGATGTAAAAAAATATTTTTGACACCATTTTCTAAAAAATATAATTCAGAAACAATTTCACTAATTTGTGAATAAGTTCTTAAAATTTCACCAAAATAATCCGACAAATATTTGATTTTTGCAAGAATTTCCAAAACAATGTGTTTTTTTAACGCCAAAAAAGACGCTAAAATTTCTAATGTTAATCTTTGGCCTACATGCTGATACAAGAAAAACAAGATTTTTAACCAAAATTACGAACGTGCCAGATAGGAAATATAATAAAAATACTTTGGTCTCTCCTCTTAATATTAACATAAACATTTTGAGAATAAAACTTTGTTTTTATCAAGTTTGGGGCCTTCTTTCACCATGCTATGCTATTTTTTAGAAATTTTTTGGACATACCCGCGGAAATTATTTATGAGTCAATGTTATATAACAAATGATCCTGTGATACCTTTAACTGCATTCCAGCCATTGAGTTAGCTCAATTACGCGTTTGTCACGGTTTCATGGCGAAACATATGAACAATTTAAATACGTTCATTTTTAATTTATTTTTATTTTATTCTACTTATTTAGCTGTTTGTTTTGTATAAATTAACTTCGCATAGAACAGGGCATAATAACAGCGAATTTCATGTTTAATTAGTTCAAACAAAATTGTCTTGTTACTTGCGAAAACAAAAGCTGTAATAATTAGACAAAAAATATTAAGTGCAAATATTTCCTTGAGAGTACAAAAGTTTGGCAAGCATGAACATGCTCGCAATAGGACAGCGTTCCAAAAGGACAGTTTTTCCCATTACACCGTTTTTTCGGAGTTTTGGGTTTTTTTTTTTAACTACCTTCATTCGTCAGCCATTTTTATTGCTTAAAAACGGTGATTAGATTTGGAATAAAATCTAAACATATGAGAGTAAATTTATACATTTTCTTTGATCTTGAGAATTTATTGGAATGTTTGTTAACACATTGGTTAATTTCCAACTAATTCAAACTTTATAAAATGGTAAATAATAAAGATTTCCTTACAGTCGGTTCACATATTTTAATAATTTAGTAAATGTTTATAAATAAAAATAATATTTACTTGCATTATTCGGACTGTTATCCTCATCTTCACTGCCATATTCGCAACGTTTCGGCCGTTGTACGCTCCGGCCTTCTTCAGATGATTGGAACCGAACCCTTTATTTTGTCCAACGGGATACATTGTTCTAGTTCCACATGCCATGCCTCTTCCAGATGCCTTAGTTATTTCCATTTAACTCAACTTACCAAGTTTTGGTTCACCACTGGTATTGAACTCACAACTCTTTGGGTCTAGTCATTGGATCTAACCAAGGCCTTTATCCACTGGGCCATCTGTCCTTTGGGACAGTTTCACATGGTAAATGATAAATATTGCAGTTCTAATTGTATTAGTTTTTTTTTAGAATATATAAAAAATATATTCTTGTAAATAAAACTTCTGAAAAATAAAAATGTTTACTATTTTTGTAGTAAATACTCAAGAACTAAAAAATGTATAAATTCACTTTGATCATGTTTTTTTTATTTATGTGGTTACGTTTGTCATTTTTTAGATTAACTGCCAATTTGACCTAATGTAACCGATTATATTTACTATTAGGACAAGAGTAAATAGTTGTGTTGTCGACATAGATACCGAGTTGAGAACTGATGATATCAGGAAGGTCGTTTCAGGAGATTTTTGTGGCTTATCATATGTGCTGATTCCTTAAGTTTACGAATTTTCCAATTCTCTATGATCTGAACCTGAGCCGACCAAGCATAGAGAAGAATACAATATGGGAACCTGTAATAAGGAGTGCCAAAAGCGGTAATAACAACAAAAATTGTAATATGAGCTCTGATAAAAAATGATGTCTGAAGACGTTAGGTTTATAATACCCAAAAATCCATACACAAATGTCCTCAAGGTCACATAGCACAGTGGATAAAGGCGTTAGTGACAGGACCCAAAGATTGTGGGTTCAATACCCGGAGAACTTGGAGATGGGAATTAACAGGATAACTGATAACTGACATCCATTAGACATGGCTCGTGGAACTAGAACAGTCTATCACAGTGAGCGAAATAAAGGGTTCAGTTCGACATTCCAGCCACCTGAAGAAGGCCGGAGCGTACAACGGCCGAAACGTTGTAATAAATATGGCGACAAAGATGAGGACAATAGTACGAATAATGTAAATAGTGTACATAATACCTCATCTCAGAAATATAGACAGTTACAAAAAGATCTATAAGAGCAACCATTTCGAGATCTGAGAAGAAAGACAATCAATTGTTTTTTTTTAAATCGTCCAGTAATACTATAAGCTTTCAACTTGTAAAGAAGACCAGTATACCAAACCCGGTCAAATGCCTTCACGATATCCAAAGTAAAAGTCAGAGCGTCACCATTCTTAAAGCTTGGTCGACCCTTTTAGCAATAACCCTTAATACATCAGCAGTTGACCTAGAGAAGCAAAAGACATATTGCTTATCTGAAAGATGAACCTGCAAGGTGAGATGCTTAACTACTTCTTGGAAAATCCTCTTGAGATGCTTAACCAATTCAAAGTTG